ATATCTCATATAAAATAAATCTTACTTCAACAAATTTCAGATAAACAGATATTAACTGCAATAATCTACTTCAAATAGTATGCGTTTTGATACTTATCATTAGCCCTTTAGCTGACTTCGGGCTTCACAGAGAGACATCAAAGTGACAAAAAGTCGAGAGGGTGGACAGAATAATGATTTAGACACAAAGTGAGAAGAATGCGAGAGGGGGAACAGAAGAGTGATTCTTGGATGTAAAAGAGACAGACAAGCAGACACTAAGGCAGAGAAAAGGTAAGATGAGTACTGTGAAGTGGTCGAATATGACGTTGAGGGGGTCATGGTAGTTTGAAGTCAGAAGTCAACTTTCGGTTTATTGATTTTTTTGCCGTATGAGAATACGTTGTCCACAGTGCACCACGTGGAAGTAAGTCTATCGCACATGCCTATTAACTATACTAATGGTTCCACAATTTCTAGTTGATTTAATAACCCATCATTGACTCATCGAGTAGTAAAATGTAAGGTAGTTTAGTTTGCTCTATTCTAAAACTTCTTTACTATTCGATAAAAATGAAATAAAATTAATAGAATGATATTTCGACTTTTAAAAATTAATTCAAAAAATGGTGGCTAAACTTCCTCCTTTCACAAAACTTTTATGAAATGAAACGATGAGGATTTTCAATACATGCTATGCCAGAAGGATTCTGGAATCCTTCATTAATTAAAAAAATCGCCATACTTTCCTCTTCGTTGGAATTTTTGAAAAAAACTATTTATGCGTGTATGTATAGAGGAAATTATACATCTGCCAAAGGCTAGAAAAATACCTTCATTGATTTTCAATCTATTTAAAATAATTCTTTAAAATATATGATTTGAATCCTGCGCAGTAAATACGTAATACAGACGCATTAAAAATAACGTTAACATTCAATTTTTCTCATCAACAATACACCCTTAGGATATTATCGCAATCGACGGAAGTTAAACAATATGGTTTCCTTTGATCATGTGAGTCGTCTAAGCTCGCGTAGATGGTGTAGGAAAGAAAGAATTCTCCATCCTTATCATACGAATGATATGAATACATATTGCCTTGGAAGAAAACATGGACACGATCGACCCAGAGATCCGTTGGTAGACGATCCAATTGACCTCTGACCTGTTGCCCAATCTACGAGAACAGAGAATGACATCAGCTTCATTATGGCGTTTTAATGGAATAACCAAAAGGAAGAACAAGTTCAACTTCTAGTAAGTTGATTTAAAGCAATGTCAAGTACATCAAAAGGTGAAAATGTTTAACGTACATAACTATCGTTAACCATTAAACCTCACATTTGACTCCTTGATAACTTCAATTAACCCGAAAATGGCGTTGCCTAAGGTTAGTACTGCTGCGTGCGCGATAAACTTACCTCCATGTGGTGCATCCTGGGCAACGTATACTCATACGGCAAGAAGGTCTTTTAACAGGCCGTTGACTTCTCACTTCAAACTACCATCACCTCACTGTATGCACCGTACTCAAATCACCTTTTTTCTATCTTTGTGTCTGCATCTTTTACATCTTTGAAACACTCTTCTGTTCCCTCAACCAACTCGACTTTTTTCACTTTAATGTTCCTTCCCCTCTGTGAAGCCTGAAGTCAACTAAAGGGCTAATGATAACAATCATTTATTTATTTATTTATCTCAAATGGCAGGCGTTTTGATAGCTATCATTAACCATTTAGCTAACTTCGGGCTTCACAGAGGGAAGGTTCATCAAAGAAGCAGAAAGTCGATGGGTGGGGAATAGAAGAGCGATTCACAGATGTAAAAGAGGCAGACAGACACGAAGGTAGGGAAAAAGGTAAGATGAGTACTGTGGAAGGGGTCGAATATGACAAGCTGTTGGGCCATGGTATTTTGAAGTCAGAAGTCAAATGCCGGTTAATTGACTTTTTTTGCCGTATGAGTATACGTTGCCCAGGGTGCACCACATGGAAGTAAGTCTATCGCACACCCCTGATAACTATCATAAAGCCTGCCATTTGATATAAATAAATAAGTTATTGCTGCCCAACTTTTTCACCTTTGGTTTAGACTAAATATCTTTTTAATTTTCCGTTAAATGGAAGTGCATTACTTTCCTTCTCCTAACCATTCCGTCAAATTTATTATCTGGGGACTGATAGGGTACCCAAGTACTATATCTTGGTACCTAGAAAGTTGCCCCCCATGCCCTATTGGGTTTAACCTTGTTCCAGAAATTTCAAAACAATATTTATTGACGGGGGAGAGCTTCGGCGTTATCTTAACTATTTGCCATGGTTCTGGAGCAGTTTCATTCAAATCGCAATGGGGATCTATTTAAATAATTTCAGAAATTTTTTTCACTCGCATTAAAAATTGGTTTGCGAAGAGCTCAAAATAAGCGTGAAATACGCGCAATGAAGAAGCGCTTTATTGATTATGACCTTCTTACTCAGACACCATAGCCCTAAATGCAATGGAAAAGTAAATCCTTCTTACTCAAGTATTGTTATTTATATGGTGATGAAGTCAATTTTGCTAAATTTGCGAAGTTAAGGAGAACTGGCTTTATTGCGCCTGTAGTTACACTATATGTTATTTTTATTTTTCAACTCTTCGGCTAGGTCATTAAGACCTGCCCGTGTCTATTTCATCGCTAACCATTGAAGCACATTTATGATAATGTGATACGGAGAGGAAAAAAGTCCAGCCCTAACCCACGGAACTTTAATTAACCAGCGATTTACCCATTGAATTTGATGAAACTACAATAGGAGTAGATAGTAATTAAAGTCAGTACTCCAAAGAGCATTATGGGATATCATCGTATTGACTGAACCAGGAATAAACAAATCCACATGAACATTTTCACCGTTTTCAGAATGTCTGCAAAAAAGGACGTGGTTTTATTGGATTAATTTCATTCATTGATTTCGACTTCTCTCTCACATAACTCTGACTCATAGAAACAAGTTGATGAATAGAAACAACACACCAGAAAATCGATAAATCTAGAAACTGTTTTAGCTGGCAAATGATTTCCATCTACTCGCTAAATACAAAAATTACCTTTCCTTTATAAAATTGATTCGAATATTTCGGTTTCCCTTTATTACGCAAATAACAGAAAAGAAAAGTAATATGATGTTCAAACATAAGTATACTGAATTGACTTCATTATAAAGTATTATTATTGCGACGGACTATTATTCGCTTGTGCCATAAACTAATTAAGCTGGTATCTAAGGCGTCTCGAAAATCTTGTAGCCATTATCGTAAGGAACAGGCCCCATGGTAAGCCGAATGAACAAATGTGTTCCAATATTTAGTTGCATCTTTACCATCTTGAAATCTTATTTTTTTCATTACCCGAAACATAACCCTTTAAAAAACTTAAATGTCGATAAAGGAGTTTTAAAAATGGCATTAAAATCGTAATTTTTGCAGCCATTAAAACGGCAATGATATCGAAAACACTTTTCCATTAACTTGCTATGACTAATTTGATCACTCGTTTTTCCTAATAAACATGTGTCTTTTGTTTTCGGGAATGCATATTTTAATTTTAATAATGAAAAGTCCAATGTTACCATCATTATATGTTCTCATTAAATAACAAGAAACCATGTCACGTTCAAGTGGTACTGTAGCGGATTGCTACTGTAATAAAGCCTGACTGACTCAGAAATCTCTATGGCAGATTCTCAAACATCTAGCTAGACTTCCAGAACCAATTAGGCCATAGCCCAGCTATAAAGGAAACAGACGTGTAGCACGGAGCACGTTTATTCAGGACGTATATTGCGGATAAAGTGTGTACGCAAGGAGCTACGCAAGACCAGGATGGGGGATTGGGTTAAACAGAGGTTAATGATTGGTCACTGTTTGTACGGTCGCTGCCCACAGAGTTGTACGGCTGCACCTCCCAAACCTGGCATCTCCCAGTCCTGGCGTGCAGGCATGCGATGACGTGTCCCACAAGGCTTGTCCCCCACAGAGGTTAATGATTGGTCACTGTTTGTACGGTCGCTGCCCACAGAGTTGTACGGCTGCACCTCCCAAACCTGGGGATCAGACATACAGGCATATAATGACGCACAACGCGATAACGTGTCTCATAGTACTTAGGATTTAGACTGAAGCAGAGGCAAATAATACTCATCGGTTTGAAATTGTCTCAATGGGAATAGCTTCGTCCACTGGCAATTATCTACTTCCCAAACCTTGTTAACACATTCCATCATTGAAAATAAAAGGTAATTTAAACAGACACATTTACTGATTTCACATTGATCAGCACCACGACTTACTTTCATATATTTGTGCTAAATAAGGTTATTATTCTAAAGCGACTGTTTGTATAAAATTCGCTTCTATGCTATTAGTAGTTAACAATATATTTAAAGAGACTGTTATTTTAACACATAAAGTGGTAAAAAGAGGGGTATGTTTGATCAGCCATCTTAAGGATCACGAAGGATTAAATTTAAAGTCCACTAAAATTCAGCATTGGAGGTTAGCGTTAAGCAATATTATACAGATTTTTATTCTCTATATGCCTTTTAAATATAAGCAATTGCATTTCTGTTGCTTTCAGTAATCACAAAAATGAGAAAACTGGCCTGAATTATTGGAAAGAATTAATTATAAATAACCAATATCTATTCATTAACCTAATGAATTGAATAGAGATTTGTCCAGTTTGTGAAATTTTAAATTATTTACTGACGGGCCTATGCACAAGTTACGCTAGCTCAAAAGGCATAATATCAAATTGATATTTAGCAAATTTATCAACTAATATAATAGAAAATGAATATATTAATCAAGACCATAATAAATCGAAATTAATTAAATTTTTGTTAATTTTAGAAATTTTTATCTTTACACACTAAAAATTATATCCGGAAATATATGATATTTTATTAACCAAACTTATCTAAACCCAAGGTCGTTTGCTCTTGACGTGTCTATTTTATCCTCTTGTCCCCTGTGAAATGTGAGTGTTGCTAGGGTTGCTGCTATGCACATAAATCAATGGTAATATGAATTAATATTTTAGGTCTAAAGTTCGTTTTCAAATCACCCTGACATCTGATCCAAATTTGCCCTTCAAAATGTAGGTCTTTACTACTTTATAAGTTCGTTTAGTCTTGAGGTTCCTGACTCAACACCATTTACAGCAGTGCTGAAATATGTTGCCGAAGAGGTAATCCTAATGTCTTTAAATGGGTGCCGTGGCTTATTTTAGCTAATCCAACCGTTTAACCATCAATGAAACTTTTTTAACTTGCATTGCTATACTTTGTGCTTAATTGTATCACTTACCGGTTCTTCATGAGGTTAATGATCCATATCTTTGCAATTTCAGTTTAAAGTGCCTCCGGAAACCAGTGCTATAATTACTGATGATGGCATCGGAATTAACCCTAAGCAAAACGCAGGTCAGTAGCGGATAATTTTACTCATTTATTTCCCAAGCACCGGTTAGACAACTTATTCTGGCCTGAAATTTTAGGTGAGGTATTCCTAAAACATGGCTCGAACCTCCGACTTATTCCCCGTGATCGCGTTGGAAGCTTTTGAAAATCTTCCCTTAGCCATTCCTTTGTGTATATATTGCGATATCCTTAATTTATTCATTCTCTCCCGCTACCAATAAAACTGATGGTTATTTGCAATTGTACATTTCTTTCTCGCGTATATTACAAAATTCAAGAAAAATATTCAGCTCTGATCATAGCAGTCTCTCAGTACGGGTTATTTGAATTGTTTTCCCTTGTCTACCCATCCAAACGAAGCCACGGGTAATAATCGCAGGACAACCCGATATTCAAGTTCTTCATAAGGGATTGACCCGTATGTCCGGGAGTCTAAAGAGTGCTCCTTGTTATCTCCTTCTATCCAAACATGGTCCTTGGGGATCTAAGTTTAACAATTAGGAATTCTGGTTATGTCCTACTTGTACAGTAACTGGTTTGCGCAGTTTAGGGCTGACATAATTAACTGTATCCCCTTCAACTGCTTGAATTCTTTTAAGCACGAAATTGCAATTATCGTGTTCACAGTACTGTCTTGCGATAATAATATCACCTCTAAGGAGTCAAGTTAGAAATTAAAATAAGCTTACTTCTTAATTCGTCGGAAGTAAATAGATAATCTCTCAACTAGCATATAATCACCGTCTCGAACTGTTGGCTCCATACTGATACCTTCGCACTAAATACAATGTTTGATAAAAGGATACTTACATAAACAACTGTTCCTACGAAATGATAGCACTGATAAAATACAGTCGCCCCAAAGGAGTAAGCAAAGAGCTTCACGAGTGAAGGCATATTTACGAAGACCAAGCAGAGAAAATGCACATTGAGCCCTATTCAGATAACCGCTCACTTCCAATTAATTATCTTGATGATTTTAAAGTAACTTTAACCTGTGCAATACAAATGACCTCAAACAGCATAAAAAAGATTTCAAATTAGTGACCTGTGGCACTAGAAATGCTAAAATAAGTTTTGCACAATTGATTACAACTTAAGCCTCTGAAAAATCAGGCTGTCTACTTCAATACACCAAAAACGATGTTCTAGGCCACAAGTTCCCAAATAAAATTTTTATATAGCGCTACCGTTTATGATTAATATGAAATGTCAGTATACTATGATCGGCAAATGGTAGATATTTTCCGATGAAATCCCAAACCACGATTTTGCTAATGCTTCAGTTTTAATTGTAGATGTGAAGGCAATATTAGGTGGTTTCGATAACAAAGCCTTGAATTTTCCTTTACGTTTTCATTTAAAAACTTTAATGTACGAATATAGTTACATTTAATTATTTTTAATCAAAAGAAATTATGTTTAACAAGTTATATTTATCTTTAAAGAGTGAACCAAAAAGGGAATTTAAAGTGCATTTTCTGACATGGTCGCCATTTAAGAAATAATGTATATTTTTTTGACTTGGACATTTATATGATTCAGCAGTGAATGACCAAATGAAATATTTTTTATTTTCTATGAGAATGACATAGTAAGGGCTTATAAGCAAAATCAAGATGCTAATCACTTCGCATTTGCAATGGAATATGTGGTTGAGATTTAAAAAAAACTATGTAAGCCATTAACTAACAACAAATCTTGCTATAATTTGTGCCAAGATCTGTCGTGAACTAAAATATAAACCAAGTTGCATTTAAATTTGCCTCTTGAGATGAGCTGCACAAAATAATAATCAGCGTTATCTACATATCTATCACATTTGGATAAAAAAATTAAGTTGATTAATCATGCTCCCTTATATACCGTACAATTAATGAAATCTAATGAAAATCAACACTCAATCTGGAGTGAGAAGACAAAAGGTTGAGTTAGGAGGATAAAGGAGGAAAGTAGCGGATTGCTACCTTTAGTGAAGCCTGACCGACTCAGAAATCTCTATGGCAGATTCTAGAGTAGCAATCCGCTACAGGAAGGAGCAGTTGGGCCAAACGAAAGAGGTAATAGTAGGGAACATGTAAATTGGTGGTACGACGAGGTGGATGATCGCTTGTGGTTTCTTCGTACATTAATCACTAGGGTAATTGTAGGAGTATACCGGTTTTATAGGTACCTAATGGACCACAGGATCAGAGTGCGCAGACGCTACCTATTATATCTTACAATCACCCCGAGTTTACTTCCAACAGAATGTTCTCAATGAATTACTAGAGTAGTTTACGACTAATCTTCACGATCTCTAAGTCCCCATGTTTTTTCCAAATTACCTCAGAGGTTGATTGCACAGTATTCTCTTGCCAAAGGTAACTAGTATTAATTTTGAATACGATTCAATTTCAGTGGAATTAAAATCAAATTTTGAATGGTAAAGAGAGTGCAGGTCATAAGAAAGCGCGTAAAAATGGATTGTTGGTACTGTGGGACACGTCATCGCATGCCTGCACGCCAGGATTGGGAGGTGCGACCGTACAAACAGTGACCTATCATTAACCTCTGTTTGTTTAACCTAATCCATCATCCTGATCATGACTAAGCTTCCTGCTACACGTCTGTTTCCTTTATAGCTGGGCTATAGCCTAGCTGGTTCTGGGAGTCTAGCTAGATGTTGGGGGACCTGCCATAGAGATTTCTGAGTCGGTCATGCTTTACTAAGGTAGCAATCCGCTACAGTACTGCCCGAGTGAACGAAAAATAAACCTCAAAAGGATTAAAATAATTGCCATTGCCAAGGAATTCTATTTTGCCAACGGAGTATGGAGGAGAATAAGATGAATGGACCAGTATATTAGCCATCAACAAAAAGACGCAAGTCCGTGATGAATAACGTGATGAAATTGAATAAAACAAATGACGTTTAATTGGACAAATTTTTAGCACAACAGGAAACATTTACTTAAATCGCAATGAGTTGCTGACTTTAATTTCTACAGTTTTGATCACTCAAAGAAATCTGCTTCACCACAAGAGGTGTCAAAATTTCCCATTGGTGATCTACTCAAAGTTTTAAACAGTCATTCCTTTTCAATAGTAAAAATGCTTATTTATATACCCAACATGTATTCATTAATTTTAAAGTAGTTTTTGTATATGACAAAGGGAGCATCATGCTTCTTGGCAGTGTTGTAAATCTCTAAAATGTTGCTGTAATCTGCAAACTTCATATGATTCTTTCAAATTCGAATACGCGTGACAAAATAGGACCAGGTTGAAGAGAAAGTGGTCTTCCGTGAAAATGCAAATATGCGTGAAATCTTTCGGAAGGATTAGAACATTATGCAGTAGTTAAAATGGACATGTTCGTGCTTAGATTTAAGGAGGTATAAATTTATTAATTTATATTAAATGACAGGCGTTTTGATGGTTATCATTAGCCCTTTAGTTGACGCCAGTCTTCACAGAGGGGAAGAGGAACATTAAAGTGAAAAAAGTGGAGAGTGGGGGGGGGGGACAGAAGAGTGTTTCAAAGTGTAAAAGAGACAGACCCAAAGGTAAAGAGGTGAGGTAAGTACTGTGGAAGTAGTCGAATATGGCATACAGTGGGGTGATGAAAGTTTGAAGTGAGAAGTCAATTGTTGGTTAATAGACTTTTTTGCCGTATGAGCATACGTTGCCCA